TGACGTCTGTGATTTAATCATGTGACATGTCTCAACAACTGTTGGATGGATTGCCATTAAATTTGAAACACACATTACTTGTGTACTTTCACAGCAAATGTGGTAACACTTTACAATAAGGGACACAAAATGTTGAGTACTTATCGTGGAATAAATTAGGAATTTAGCAGTGTAGTTGCAGATTGCAATTCCCCCTCATCTTTCAAGCGTGAAGGAGAAACTACTTTACTTTAGGGGCCCTCTAAAGAGTAATTGTAAGATAATAGTGAAGTATGTTTTATGCATCCCTTTACTCTGGGTCTATAAAAACAGTAACTAATGTTTCATTAGTAATGCAGTAATGTTGTTACTAGTGCACTCATAGTCAGCTTTTAATTGAGTTAAAGGGATACTCCAGCAATTTAGTATTGCACTTTTATAAAGACAAGGGACCCACAAGAAACATTAAAAAAATAATGGCAAAAAGTTAAGCAGGAGAGGTAGAGATATTTTGTCTTTGTGTGTTTTTTGTAAAATCGCTTCTGACTCCTAAATACAGCACAACTCCAGTTTGTATATAGACACAAAGGTGTGCAAAAAAGGAGTAAATCATGAAGAAATGTATGGTTTATTTATTTATTCATTTTCATTTGTAGCAGTATTTTATTTTCAATTTCCAACCAACATGACAGGCAGTGTATCCTGCCCCCCCCCCCTCTCAGCAGTTCAACAACAACAACAACAAGAAAAAATAAAAATCAGGCTTCCAAATCACCCCATCACTTTCCTACTGCACCATAAATTGGGCATTCTACGGTGGGGTCGTTCTTCTTGTGCACTATGTATTGACATGCCTTTGAGTCAAACACTGACACACAGTCGTCAGGGAACCGACTGGGGGTTGAATACCTGCAGTCACACAGTAAACACACAGTTAACAGCAGGATATGTAAATACAGAGATAAATACATTTTATTCCCATTGAAAAATGAAAATGTTGTAATCTGTGTAATCACCCAGCACAACATCCCTCGCAAGTACAGTCCATGCATTGACTGTTTCTCCATGAAGATCCAACTGCATGCCATGTGTTATCCACATTATCCTGACAGTGTGTCATGCCTATGTGTGAAAAGGGGCTGTTAAATATTTTTCAGCACAGCCATAATTTAGTATCACGTGCTAATCTTGGTGAAATTGTTCTGATGAAGAAAACTTGTGTGTACATACCACAAGCATGCTGTATGTCTGTGTGTTGTTTTTTTCTTTTCTTTTACCTGGTTTCAGGTTCCTTCTGTTGCACTGAGCATTTGACAGTGAGAGCAGAGCACATAGCAGCAAAGCCAGAGCCAAATATTTCTTCAAAGGAAAATGGAAATAAACATCATAGTTTTAATATTTGATCTCAAGCATACGAAATACAGTAACATATCCAAGTATGCATTTGGTAAAAAGCAGGAAAATGCCATAGATACTTAATCATATCGCTAAAACACAGATGAATAATTCTGTAAAGTGTTGCCATTTTGACTGGAAGTCCATGCTAGAAAATGAGTCAACATGAGTGATTATCACTTTTATTTCCTATAAACATCACATTTTATCTCTTCACCTGGATGATATACATTACTTTACCCTGTAAAAACACAAAAACCACACCCAACAAACAATTTCATAACTCAGCAATTTTGAAACTCACCATGATGGCAGTCAGACTTTTCCGATTTGTAATGTGTTTAGGTAAGAAGTACAAATATAAGTTATTTTTATGAAGCGCTCTGTCTTTTAAACAGTGCGTCTGCAGGGACCTTTGGAATGAAATAAGGGGAGGGAAGAGCTGGTTAGTTTACTGAAAGAGGTCACTGTTGAATTTGTCTCAACAGAAAAAGTGGAACATGCAATGTATGGCAACAACAAGGGGATTTTATAATAAACAGTTAAAGTAGTTTTAAGATTTTACAAAAAATAGATCTCTTCTCCTTTCAGTTTCTAGTGATGTTAAAAAACTCAAGTCCAGGGGTTGTTGGGAGGACTGTAGGGGGTCCCCAGAAAAATTAAAAAGCTTATTTTAACCTTTTCTTTTTACATTTTTTGTAGGTTGGAACAACAAGGAAAGTAACAGGACTGGCTAATCCTAATGTAGCCCTAGTTTGGATTGGATTGACTATGAAGACTAAATGTAAAACATTACTCAGAGGGGATTGAGACAAAATCATCTCAAATTGGGAGTCATTCGTTTAATGTGTATCTGTTGTGGGGGTCCTTGACATGAAAAAAATTGGGAACCCCTGCCTGCACACGAAAGAGCACAAACTGGGGCTACTGAGGAACTAAATACTAAAGAATATTTAAACGTATTATATTAAAACTTCACACACAACACACTGAATGAGGCAAATTCACTCATCATTTTTAAAGTAATTCAGAGGGAGTAAATGATCCAGATCCATGCTGTAATCCAGATCCATGCTGTAATCCAGATCCAGGTTCGATCCCTGGCTCCTTCTGCCACATGTCGAAGTATCCTTGAGCAAGATACTGAACCCCAAATTGCTCCTGTGAATGTGTATGAATGATTAGTTTCTGTTCGATGGGCTTTGCCATCACTGAGTGAATGTGTATGGAAGGGCGATTGTGGCACGTAGTGTAAAAGCGCTTTGAGTGGTCAGAAGACTAGAAAGACGCTATACAAGTACAGGTCCATTTACCATTTGATTAGAGTATTATTATTATTATATTATAAATTTTAGAGACTAATTGATCATTTCATGAAAGGGTTCTCACGTTTGATTTTTGAATATTTATCTTTTTTCGAGACAGCAAACAGTAATTTTTTGACTAGCCACCAAAAAAGTCAACTATCACATTTTGTTCAATAACTTCATTATTACATTAGTACATTCTGTCTTTCTAGTTAGTCTTGCATTGAAAGCCCATGCTTCTGAGGCACATGCTTTAGTAAGAATAGATATAGTCCGAATAATTACATTCAGAAGGACTATGTACAACAATGTGACTTTGTCCTGACTGTTGAACCTTCTAGGATCGCTGTGTGCCACTGGCTGAGTGCGGCTGCCACTTCAATGGTCAGTACATTGTTTCTGGACAGAAATTCTACAGTGACGCTGAATGCCAGAGCTTCTGTGTCTGCCATGGAGGGGTGGTGACCTGTAAGAACAAACCCTGCAAAAGACAGCAAAGATGTGGAGTGCAGAAGGGAGTAAGAGCTTGTTACGCCATAAGAGGATTCCCCTTCAGACATCATGGGAGAAAAAGATAGCTACATGCAGAGCGCCATCTTCTCTTAATTAAAGCAATTCTTTAGGGAGCAATGTTGTGCTTAGACTGTAAGCTTTAATTTGTTCAATTATAATTATAGATTATTCTGTGGTAACAGTCCAAATATATTTAATTCATTGATCTAAAATGGTGTTTCACATTTAAAGATAGAAATAGCTTAGTTGTCAAAAATCTGATCTTAAAGGTTATTAATAAAAATAATACATTTTCTGTTCCTTTTAAGTCACTCTGCTTACAAACTGTTGTTATTGCATTAACAATTTAATGTTAATGTAACCTGGAATAAATTGTTACACAATACTTTAACTACTGTGTGTTGCTGTTGCAGCTAAAACTACTTTATCAACATACACTCTGCCAGTTTATTCAGGTACACCTAGCTGATAATAATAAACTAATGCAGTCTAATATAACAGTCCTGCAATAAATCATTATCTTTCTTAAGGTCCTAATATTGTGTTTTTGTTGAAACTGAGAGGTATTGAATCAATTCTATGGTCATTTTGGAGGTTGCTGTTTGTGGTGATGTTGAATTATATTGCATGTACTGTTGTTGTAACTGTACTGAGAAGTGTTTCTATTATTTTGTCCACACCATTTATATCAACAGATCTAAAATGATGAAGAATAAAGTTTCAACAGCACCTTTATAAAATTCAACATCATACAGTGTGCAACAATACTTTTATCATATGACTTAGTAAAATAAATAAAAGTTTTTATACTCTAATGTTTATTTTCAATTTAAAATGTAATTGCTAGTTTTTACAAAACCAATGAAGATTTTTACTACTACAGTAACGTTTTGTAATCAGCTTCCTTGGTCTGTTCCTTCCACACATATATATAAGTGTTTCTAATGATCATTAAATGCTTTCAGCAGCAAACATTTGTTGTGTCTGTGTTTGACTTACATTCCTATTGACCATCAACTTACACATAAAATTAAAATGATACTTAGATACTGATCACTGAGCATGTCGACTGTGAGCTGTACAGTGTGTTGTAAAATTGCAAAGGAAAAGCAGGTTGAAAACAGTCACTGACAACAGTATCACCATAATAGGTGAGAGGTAGAGCAGGTCATCCACTAATCAAATTGCTCCTGATGCTGTGCATGTGTGTATGAATGATAAGGTGGTAGTGTAGTGTACAACGCATTGAGTGGTCAAAGTACAGTCCATTTACTATTCACCATAATGCAGAGGAAGAAAAAAAGAATGCTGTATAATGACTGCAGCTTTAGCCATGTGAACATGGAAAAAACCTATAATGCATTTTTTTTGCCATATCCATCCAAGTTATGATGCAGAAACCTTCTTGGACCTGGAGTTCTGCACAAAATTAAAACAAATTAAATCTGTGAATTCCATTTTCAATTCAATTCAATTCAACTTTATTTGGACACTTTTCAAAATAGAGCAGGTCTAGAACGTACTCCTTATAAAATTATTTGCAGAGACCCAACAGTACCCACCAT